GCACGCGCCCCTCTCACCTGCACGCGCCCCTCTCACCTGCACGCGCGCTCTCACCTGCACGCGCCCCTCTCACCTGCACGCGCCCCTCTCACCTGCACGCGCCCCTCTCACCTGCACGCGCCCCTCTCACCTGCACTCGCCCCTCTCACCTGCACGCGCCCCTCTCACCTGCACGCGCCCCTCTCACCTGCACGCGCCCCTCTCACCTGCACGCGCCCCTCTCACCTGCACGCGCCCCTCTCACCTGCAACGCGCCCCTCTCACCTGCACGCGCCCCTCTCACCTGCACAGCGCCCTCTCACCTGCACGCGCCCCTCTCACCTGCACGCGCCCCTCTCACCTGCACGCCCCCGCTCTCACCTGCACTCTCGCGCCCCTCTCACCTGCACGCGCCCCTCTCACCTGCACGCGCCCCTCTCACCTGCACGCGCCCCTCTCACCTGCACGCGCCCCTCTCACCTGCACGCGCCCCTCTCACCTGCACGCCCCCTCTCACCTGCACGCGCCCCTCTTCACCTGCACGCGCCCCTCTCACCTGCACTCGCCCCTCTCACCTGCACGCGCCCCTCTCACCTGCACGCGCCCCTCTCACCTGCACGCGCCCCTCTCACCTGCACGCGCCCCTCTCACCTGCACGCGCCCATGGTCATCCAGCAGCAGCAAGTGGCGGTCGCGGATCATCTCGCGAATCACCCCCCTGCCCTCCCCCTCCACCTCCCCCTCGCTGCACACGCGCACCGCCACGCGTGGCCCGCTCAGGGGCGAGGCATGGCGCATGCACTGCAGAGAGCGGCGGGTGGGAGGGAGGGCAGGGCAGGAAGAGAGGGAGCAGGAGAAACGGCTGGCTAGAAGCAGCAGGTGGCACGGGCTGGTATAGAGGCGCGCATGCAGCTGTGCAAGGGCTGGTGCCCCGGCAAGCTTGCTTTGTGCATGACTCCATGGCACAGGCAGGAGGGAACGAGGCGAGAGGGCGACGGGCGAGGTGGGAGCACCTGGAGGAAGTGAGCTGTGTCACGCGGCCACGAGGAGAAGCGATACAGCGGCCGCCACTGCGCATCCTCCTCACAAGCGGCCTCCCCCCATGCTGCCTGCTTGCCATCTGCTCCTGCCCATCTCCCGCCTGCTTCACTGGGCCCCACGCGGCACAGCCTCTCCACCACATACCACTGCTCGCCTGCCCTAACCGCTGCTGCTGCTGCCTGTCCACCTGCAGCATGCGTGAGGCCGCGGTGGGCACGGTGTCCCGTGGCCACGCACCACCCCCCGTGTAGAAGTCATTCATCATCGGGGTCTGAATCTGAATCTGCCTCCCCGCCAGCACTCCTCTCAGCCATGCGCCCATCCATTCCTGCCTCTATGTGCTCCACTGCCACCCCTGCACGCCTCTCTCTACTGCCCTCCATCCCTCCCTGCCCCTGTCCGCTGCTGCTACTGCTGCTACTGGCATCTCCAGGCTCTCTGCTGTGCATGCAGGCGCCATGCCGACAGCCCCCGCACCTCGTCCACGCACCCAAGGGGCTGCACTGGCAGGTGCTGGCGGGTAGGGCGGGGGCATGGGGATATGCGGTACAACCCCCGCGTCCTGGTGCTGCGGGGGACAGGAGTGGTGGGATTGAGAGGTGGCATGGAGGGGAAACGCTTGGGTGAGGAGAGAGAAGGGGTGGGAGTGGGAGTGGCACATCACAGCAGGGAATGAAGGGACGTGTGTAATGAATGGAGATGGGAGGCGAGGGGAAGGAGCGGCGTGCCTGGTGGATGGTGGGTTGGAAGAGCAGTGGTTCCAGGAACATGGGGTGGGGCACAAGGCTGGCGGGGCAGCAGGGCGTGCTGACGTCAGCGAGCCATGCCATGCCGTTGATGTGCACACAGCAGACACATCTGCATGCGGGTGAGGGGGTGAGGAATGGGGGTTGGTGGGGCAACGCATGGTGAGAGGGCATGTGCATGAATGAGAACACATGGGTAGGTGGGTGGGTTGTTGGTTGAGTGGGTGGGTGGGTGTGTAGGTGGGTGGGTGGGTGTGTGGGTACAGGACAGTACGGGATAGGAAGAGCCAAGTCACCGAGTGAGATGGCTCACTCACGTCGGACATGATCTGCCAGCTCTGCACTTGCTGGTGAGGCAGCTGCACTAGCTGACTGGACAGGCTGCTGCGCTGAGGCAGCAGGAGATGAGAGGCGAGCCACGCAGGCAGCCGCATGGTCCGGCGATGGCGCCGCTGCAGGGGAGGCAGCATTCAAAGTAGCAGCCGGTACATGTGGTTGACGAGAGGAGCGCCGGGAGGAGGACGGAGGGGAGTGGTGGTGGCGGGGCGAGTGTGGCGAGTGGCAGGACGAGGGCGGGCAGCAGGTCGACCTGGCAGGCGAGGTGGTGGCGGAGCACCACGACGCAACAGCACGTTGGACTGCCCTCCACGCACAGAGGAGAGGGGGGGTGGGAAAGGAACAGCGATTGGATAGGGGTCAGCTTACGGGGGCCCGTGGTGCTCTGCGCGGCCTTACAAGCTCCTCACAGGCCCTGCGCTTGTGGCGTGGCTGAACAGGACGAGGGCGTCGGTGCAAGTGGGAAGGAGTGTTGCAAGCTGGCGTGCGGGAGAGGTGAGTGAGGCAGGACGGTGAAAGTGAGGCAATGGGAGATGGTGATATGGTGATATGCTGCGAGCGACGAGCAGCACGTGGCGTTCTCTGAAGACTCCCTCGCCATTTCTGCATCATCAACATCACAGCATCATCAACATCACAGCATCACAACATCACAACATCAACATCACAGCATCGCAACATGCATTTCCCTGCTGTGCTTCGCGCCCATTCCCCATGTCCGCACCTCATGCGACCATGCCCCTCACACCCGTCGCGGCCTCACGTCCCGTGCGCCCCCCTCACCTCGAAGCCACGAGCCCCCGCGCTGAGAGCACACCATCTTGCGGTACAGCGCGCCGCGCGCCCAGCGCTGCAGGGCTGTCCGCCACGGGGCCTGCAGCAGTGCAGTGGGCACGCCACACACGCGAGGGTGAAGGGGAGCGCAGGAAGCCGTGAGTGACTGGAGTGCGTGCAGCATGGCATCTGAAGTGCATCGCCCGCACGCCCAGCGCGGGGCAGGGCTGTCCGCCTCACTGGGCCTTCATGCCGCAGGGAAGGCGCGGGACACAAGCGCCATACGGGCGAGAGTGGGTGAGAGAACACACAGCAGCCATCCGCGCAACACGCTGCAGGCGGCGGGGGTCGGGCTGGAGGTCCAGACGGCAGTGGCGATGCGCGAGAAACGGGTATGGGCGCGAGGGGCGAGGGGTGAGGTGGGTGGAGCGGTTGGTGAATGACGGTGGTACATGGGAACGACTTGTTGAAAAGGAAGGCATCTCACGAGAGCAGGTCGAGAGGAATGCTCCTCGCATGTTCCTCATGCAGCTGTCCGGAACAGCCCACGACGTCCTCTCCCCACGCCTCCCCCACTCCCCCGCCTTCCCCGGCCCCTCCGCCTCCCTCTCCCCCCACCGTCCCCCACCATTCCGCCCGCAACCCCCCCGCGAGCACACCCCCGCCGGTAGGGGTCAAGGCGCGCGGTGCAGCGGGCCGTCGTGGCGCAAGCGGAGCAGGTAGCCGCGGAGCATCTTGAGCGGCGAGGGGCCTTCCGCCTGCTCGTGCGCGTCCCATGACCGCGTCGCGTGCATGCCGGTACAACCGTTGCGGCGATGGGGGGTGCGAAGTCACCGGAGTAGCGCGATCTCACGACTCGTAGCGTGCGAGCGGCAGGCAAGCTGGCGGGGATCTCACGACGTGCGAAGAGGTGGTGCGCCCGCAACAGTTGGCTTTTTGGGTGGGCTGGGAGGGAGGGTGCGCTGTTGGTTTTTGGGTGGGCTGGGAGGGAGGGTGCGCTGTTGGCTTTTTTGGGTGTACCCACCCACCATAAATCGGCTCATTACACTACTGTCAAACAGTGTTGGTCTGTTTACTAATCCATGAAACATCCAATATAAATGTGACACGAATCAATATAATCTGCTTACTTTCAAGAAGAGTTCACATCATGGTGCTTGTTGAGATAACCTCGTGATTGAATGGATAGGATAAAGAGCCTTTTGAGTTAAGAAAGCGGATGTCTGTGTCAAGACACTATCATTGTAAATGTAATTAACAATAACATTGTAATATTGCATGTATTGATGTGTATAGTGTTGTCGGGAAAAGGCCCTGCCCTCTCTTTAGGCGAAGCCGACTTTGTTGTCTGACATGTTTCGATCAGAAACTAGATCGTAACCAGGATCACCTCGGGAAGGTTCGCAAAGAGTGCGTGTTAGTGGTGAGCCCTTGACCTCAAATCGTAGTGAATGTAAAATGATTGAGATAATGACATGCGAATACAAGCATATAAATAAGAGTACAAGGGAATACGAAACGACCTAACTAGCCATGTACTCTAAGTGGTACATTCCCTCATTGCAGCGAAATCCAACCGTGCGACTCCAGACGGTTATGAACCATTCTGGCAGAATCCCCGCCACTGCTGCTGCCTGGTGCTGTCTACCCTGACGGTCCAGATGCCCTGTAACCGTACGCGACCCTTCGTGTCATTCTTCTTCAGCCTCGGTACTGTGTACCTCGATTGCTGCTGTTAGGAGTGTACAATGTTCTTTCTCAATTTTACTATTCGTAACACCCCCCTTCACTCCTGGCCGTAGCAAGTCTTGGCCCGCTTGACTACTATGCTGAGATCGGCGCAGTGCTGGTATAGTCGCTTCGTGAGGAAGTCGACTGCCATGTCACCCGTCGAGCAGTAGGTCAAGAGTCATCCTTGCCTTTGTCAACTTCGTCCTTGACGAAGAAGTACCGCAGCGCAATATGTTTGGTGCGGTTGACGAACCCAGGTTTGTTCGCGATCCTGATCGCGCTCTGGTTGTCGCAGTGCAGGCGAAAGGTGGTCGAGGTTGAGATTTCGCTTCCTGTAGGAGCTCCTGTCGGTAGAGCCCTTCGCGAACAGCTACTGTCGGGGCGATGAATTCAGCTTCGGTCGATGACATGGCAACCAACTCCTGCTTTGTGAGTTTTTGGAGATGGGACCTGTTGTCTCTAGGCGGAACAGGAAGCCGGTTCAGAACCGTCGATTGTTGGGGTCAGCAGTGTGATTGGTGTCCACGTAGTCGATGAGGTTGAAGGACGGGGTCGTGACTGTGGAGTAACAGAGCCCGACATTGGGCGTGGAGATGAAGAATTGAAGGGCGCGCTCAAGATCCAGGTCATTTTCAGCCGTTGGTTTCCGTGAGTACTGAGCTAGCGGCTCGCGATGTCAAACTTATATGCTATAGTCTGTGTAGGCTGTAGTGGGGTGGTTCATATGGGATACAACACTTTAGGGTTTCCTACTTGTACTCCTCATGCTGCTCAATGCAATCATTCCTCGTTCATATTCTCACGTGGTAGTTAGAGCAGAATCGTTCCTAGGGCCCACCGAACGTTCCGCCCTGCCCTAACTGAATTTGTTTTTTTTAGCTGCCCCTGCGGCCGCGCTGCCCTTGCAGCCCGCGTGCTGCCCCTGCGGCCGTGCTGCCACTGGCAGCCGTGCCTGCCCCTGCAGCTGTGCCTGCCCCTGCAGCCGTGCCTGCCTCTGCAGCCCGTGGGAGCTGCCCCTGCAGCCCGCGCGCCGCCCTCCCGAACAGCTGTGCCTGCCCCTGCAGCCGTGCCTACCCCTTGCAGCCCGTGTAGGGCGCTGCCTCTGCAGCCGTGCCTGCCCCTGAAGCCCGTGGGCGCTGCCCCTGCAGCCGTGCCTGCCTCTGCAAACCCAGGGGAGCTGCCTCTGCAGCCTGCGCGCCGCCCTAACCGTGCTCGTCGCGACGCCCCTTCGGGACCCGCGCGGCGTCCCCCTCCTGCTCGTCGCGCCCCCCCCGGGGCGTCGCCCCTGCTCGTCGTGGCGCCCCCTGGGGTGTCGTTTCCTGTTCGTTCGCGGCGCCCCCTGGGCGCCTTCCCTGCTCGTTGCGGCGCCCCCCGGGGCGCCTTCCCTGCTCGTCGCGGCGCCCCCGGGGCGTCGCTCCTACTCTTCGCGGCGCCCCCCCCCCCTGCAGCATCTGCCTCGGAGCCCCGCCCTGCAGCAGCTGCCGCGGAGCCCCCTGCCGCCGTAGCGGCCCCGCCCTACAGCAGCTGCCGCGGAGCCGCCTGCAGCAGTCGCGGCCCTCGCCCTGCAGCAGCTGCCGCGGAGCCCCCCTGCCGCCGTCGCGGCCCCGCCCTGCTGCAGCTGCCGCGGAGCCGCCTACAGCAGTCGTGGCCCCGCCCTGCAGCAGCTGCAGAGGAGCCCCCTGCCGCTGTCGTGGCCCTGCCCTGCAGCTGTCCCGGCCCCGCCGTCGCCGCCGTTGTGCGCCTACCCTGCTCGCCCGGCAAGCGACTGCCCTTCCCGCCACTGGTAGAGCACTTTGCCCTACCCGCGCTTCCCGCGCGCCTGCCTTACTTAGCGCGCTGCCACACTGCCCTGCCCGTGCTGCTACTACTGTTTCTGCTGCTACTACGGCTACTATTGCTACTGCTGCTCCTGGCGGTGGCCAGATGCAGCTCCAGCAGACGTCCGCGTGAGTCCCTCACGCCTAGAGCTACTGGAGTGGTACGCTAGTTGGGGTTGTAGGGGTGGCCGCGCTGCTACTGCTGCTCTACTGCTGTTACTGCATGCTTACTGCTGCTACTGCGGGCTACTACTGGCTACTGCTGCTCCTGGCGGTGGCCAGATGCAGCTCCAGCGACGTCCGCGTGAGTCCCTCACGCCCCAGCAGCTTTGTGAGTGGTTACGCTCGTTGGGGTTGTAGGGGTGGCCGTGGTGGGAGTCGCCCTGGAGCGGGTCGTTTGGGAGCTTCTGGTAGTGACCAGGTGCAGCTGCAGCAGCGTCCGCGCGTGGTCCTTTCGCCCAGCAGCTTCGTGAGTGGTACGCTCAGAGTGGAGGGTCACGGAGTACTGCTCGCTACATGTACGTCATTCGCACTGGTGCTCGGGCTGGTCAGCCTTGCGGGACGATTGGTCACACAGAGGTCCCGCTGCCTTTCCCGTCTGAGCGACGCCTGGCGTACAGAGTTTGGCGACGCGGCTGAGCTCCCGACTGGGTGGAGCTGCTTAGGCAGAGGGTAGATATCTTTGCTCTTAACTATGATGCTATCCTCACTGCCATGTATGCATTGCCTACTAGTGCTGAGGGTGCCTGTTACCTGTGTGTGCCGCGTGACCCAGGTATAGAGTCTACTGCTCTAGGTGCTGGTGAGGCTGCTGCTCTAGGTGCTGGTGCGTCTCCTGCTCCAGGTGCCGGTGAGGCTACTGCTCTAGGCGCTAGGGAGTCCACTCCTCCAGGTGCTGGTGAGTCTGCTCTCTCTGGTACTACGCCTGCTGCGGGCCTTGCACACTTTCACCCTTGACTCGGGTGCTTCCCGCTCCTTCTTTCGCGACTGCACCACACTCTCGCCGCTCAGTCGGCGAGTGGCAGTCTCTCTGGCTGACCCCTCTGGGGGTCCGGTCCTTGCACACTCCTCCACGGTTCTGCTATGTCCGGCGGTCCCGTCTGGCTCTCTGTCTGGCCTCCACCTCCCCTCGTTCTCCACGAACTTGGTGAGTGGAGCTGACCTTCAGGACGCGTGGGTTTGACCAGTTCACTCCTGGAGGTCAGCGGGTGACCCACTGCTCGTGTACTCGGACTGGCCGGCACCTGGCCACGTTCACCCGTCAGCCTACCGTGTCTCCTCCGGTTGCTGAGTCTGGTCAGGTGGCTGCGTCGGGTCAGGTGTTTGCTGCAGCGTCCCGGTCTGGTCCTGAGTCTGCCCCCTGCTCGTGTCGCCTCCTGTCTCACCAGACTCTCCTCTGGCACCACCGCCTTGGTCAACCCTCCCTGCCTCGTCTGCGAGGCATGGCCTCCCGTGTCCTTGTCACTGGTCTTCCCCGGTCTCTCCCTCCCCTTCCCCCGGGGCCTGCCCCTACCTGCGTTCCTTGTGTCGAGGGGCGACAGCGCGCCGCTCCTCACTCCTCTGAGTTCCCTCCGACGGATGCTCCCCTGCAGACGCTTCACATGGACGTGTGGGGCCCAGCCCGCGTCCGTGGCCTGGGTCACGAGCGCTACTTTCTACTAGTCATTGACGACTACTCGCGTTACACCACAGTCTTCCCCTTGCGCCGCAAGGGTGAGGTCACTGAGGTGTTGATCGACAGGATCCGCGCTGCCGTCGTTAGCTCAGCGAGAGTTTCGGCTCGGACCTTCCTGTTTTGGCGTCTGCACTCCGACAGAGGTGGAGAGTTTTCCTCCGACCTTCTGCGAGCCTTCTGTCGTGCGGAGGGCATCCGCCAAACGTTCACGCTTCCGGCCTCTCCGCAGCAAAATGGGATTGCTGAGCGCCGCATTGGC